GCTAAAGGAATAGGCGATATGTGTAAGCATAGCGTAAAGAGTAGCCGCGGATCTGTTGGAAACATGGTAAAGGCATAGAGTAGCGGGACCTGTGTAACATAGCTAAAGGAGTAGCGGGACCTGTGTAACATAGCTAAAGGAGTAGCGGGACCTGTGTAACATAGCTAAAGGAGTAGCGGGATCTGTGTAGCATAGCTAAAGGAGTAGCGGGATCTGCGTAGCATTGCTAAAGGAGTAGCGGGATCTATTACAGGTTCACCGGAGGAGATACATGCTTTTCTGAATGCCCTCCAGTGCGTGGACAGCAGTAGTCTGCAAGCATACGGAGGAGGACAGGATGTCGAGGATGTGGAATTTACGTTGGAGGACAGGGACGATGTGCTCATTGGCTCTAACTTTTCACATGTTCTAAAGGTTGGATTCGCTTCTAGGATCCAGTTGATCTTATCCGGTCAAACAAAACTTGCTTTTCAAGTCTGATGTCTATCCCGTTTCATCTATCCCTCTTCTATCCCCGTCTCTCCCTAACAGGCGAGTCTCTTTCCCTTCCCCTTCCCTTTGCTTGCCCATTCTCTCTCTACATTCGTTCCTGTTTATCGCTCCACTCTCTCGCCTCTCCTTTCTCTCTCTTTTATCTTAATCCCCTGCCTCTCTCATGGTTAATACAAGTGGTATCTTTTATAGAGACCGGTCTATCCTACACTCTGCATTCATGTCAGCATCAAGCGTATTATTACGCTGGAAGGCTTCGTCTAATTGTAGCGTTCAGACTGAAAATACTGTGCAACGCGACGGTTGTTACAGCCGCAGTTTACCGTATGTAAACGATTTCACACCTTGGAATGTGGGAGCGCCATATTAATAAGCAAGGTGTTCCCTTTTATAGAACGACTAGCGGATAAACGTCAAACATTCCCCGCATAAACAAAACCTAAAAATAAAATTTACAGCGTGACGTCACTATTATTTTTGTAGTTGAAAAACACGTCGAGCAAGGTGCGCACCGTCGAAGTCAACTTGCACATCAACACCACCTTCTACACCGGTGTGGTGGCGTACAAAGTGAAGACGGAAAAGACTTCAGTCACGATCAAGCCAAATTCCAGTACGTAAACATACGTAGTCAAAGCAATGATTCAATGTCCATATAAATCGCTACGACGGAAGGACGAACGAGGGCGGACGGAAAGTAGACAGCCACACAGACAGACAGATAGACCAGACAGACAGACAGATACACAGACAGACAGACAGACAGACAGACAGACAGACAGACAGACAGACAGACAGACAGACAGGTAGGCAGCCAAGCAGGCAGGCAGGCAGGCAAGCAGGCAGGAAGGCATGCAGGCAGACAAACAGCTAGGCAAACAGACAAACAGACAGACAGATAGACAGAGAGACAGACAGGCACATCGTCTTCCTATTGCTTGTGCCTTTTATTCCCCACCCTCGACATCTTCCTCGCCACTCGCATATGAAAGCTAGAATCGCACATGAAGCCATCGAAAATGATGTTTGCGTTACTCAGCGACTGTTACTGCGGCCTTGCAGCTGCTGAAGCCGCGATCTCGGTGACAGCCGACGATTACCTGGACCTACTCGTCGATCAGGCATCCTTCCAGGTGTTCGCCTGTGCCAAAGTCAAGGAAACAAACCAGATATATTCCGCCGAAGATGACTTCCGAGTTAGAGCACCAAATGTCAGCGTGGAGGTAGGTGTTGCCTCTCTCGCTGGATCTCGCATGTTGTTTCTTGCGTTGTCTCTTGCATGACCTGACTCTCTCATGATGTCTCGAGGGCCATAACTGCTGATCGGATAACTCCCCCTTCGGGTGGATTACCAACTCATATTTGATAGGAAAGTTTTTTTTACAAAGTTCGCGGTCCGTGAAACTTACCAGATACTTATTCAATAGAGTATAACTGATATTTTCCTCGACTAGGGGAGAGGGCTTAACTTTTACATTAATACATTCACTATATTTAAATAAAATAGAACCTCGTTGATTTCCTGAAAATAAGGGGTGAAATTTGCTCGGAATCTTCGTGAATAAGGGGTGTCTATACAGGAAGAGAACAGGAATGCGCAACCGTTTTATCTGGGCGTGCCCTGACCGGAGCTTTTTTTGGACGATTTTTTGTAGGTTTGTCGGTGGTTTGTTAAATCACTTTATTAGCTCTTCATGACATGTTGTATTATTATTGCTATATATATATATATATATATATATATATATATATAGTATATATAATATATAATATAGAGAGAGAGAGAGAGAGAGAGAGAGAGAGAGAGAGAGAGAGAGAGATAGATAGATCTATTGCAATGTGACTGTCATCAACGCACTTGTCTCTCGCGCAGGGATCATGTGGATCATGTGGAATCAGATGTCTCGTGCGGAGTATATATACTATCAATGCAAATTGTTGGCATGTAGCTGTAATAGTATAGTATATGATGTACCTGTAGTGTAGTATAGTGAATAATCACGTCTTCATGCTAACGGTACGGGAAAAGAGTTAAACTGATTTTCTTCAAACGTCTTACAGGCGATTGGTCCATTCAAGGCGGGTAAGCCGATAAAACTGGATTTCTGGCTGGACAACCCACTGCCAAGGACTCTAACCAATTGCTATTTCATAATCGAAGGGCCTGGTATTGCCAAGCCGGTGAAACTTCCCTGCAGGTATACGCATAAATCTCGAAGTAATAAGTATTATGCCTTTCGTGTTATAGTGAATAAATCCTGAAGAATATTATCATCAAGGTGCCTAAAGTGCCTCGTAATGATAATAAAAATCACCATAGAAAATATACCTACCGATAACATGATACAAGATGCCCGTGCATTGATTGATGCAACAGGAAACAAAACTAACACGCGCTCTGTTTCAGTAATATGCAGCCAAAAGGCGGGACGGCCATGTCCTACGCATGTACGCCGAAGAAGCCAGGCAATAAAGCCATTCTTGTGAGTTTCTCCTCCAAGCAGCTCAAGGACGCAGACGGCTTCCTCAAATTACAGGTGGAGAAGTAAGAAGAGATGTAGAATGGGTCAACGTTTAATAAAGGCTCTATTGCATTAGGCATGTAGGCGGCAACACGGATAATATAATAACAATCAAGACTCCATTGAAGATCATGTTAACGATCTCTGGATACTAACTTCTATCAGTAAGTACGAGGTAACTAGATACGTATTGACAATAATCGCAAAAAAGAAAAATTTAATAAAAATATGTTCTTCGATACTGTACGCTGGGATTGATAAGAATTTTACGTTTTTTCGGATAAAACTAAAATGGTTCTTTATTGAAATAAATGAAATAATTTCGTGAAATCTTAGATGAGCCACTTGCACGCGGTGTAACTGAATTTTGTCTCTCATCATTAACTCCGTTAGTTACCGTTAACTCACTTCTTTGACACCGAATTTAAAATGACACTTGTGATGCTGGTCGCATGATAAATTAGCGTATTATTCCTTCTGGCTTCAATAAAGTGTCAAATCACTTTCAATTATTTTACGAGTTTTCGACGTTCTACTCTACCTTACAAATACATTTAGTGTGGAGCTAAGCCACACACTACACAACTACTCATTACGTTCGGCATAGTTCGGTGACATCCATCCTGCTTTTCGTCTGTATTTTATCATAATAACCTTTTATACGTTTAATATACTCTAGCGCGTCTTGTATTGAAACAAGCATATATCACTACAAAAATGTAGAACTGCGAAATCATAAAACTTTGCCCATATTTTTCCAATAGTTTGTCGTGCCAATTGTTCTTGATAACACAATTTTATCTTCGTTGCAATATGCTTAATTTCTCTATATATTTCTGATGCTACATAATCTCCCAATTTCAGTATTGTTTTATATTATTGAATTATTCTAACATTTTTTAATATACGCGGTGAATATCAACAATGTTAAACCCCAATTCAAATGTAAGCCCTCTTACTTGACATCTGTATATCGAGAAGCGGTGTTCATCGTGATTTTCCGATCTCAAAATGCACATACAGTGACGAAAACAGATCCGCTCATATTCACGTTAATATTCTATAGTTTCCACTTCCTGCATGGATTCAACTTTTAAGAGTAAACTTGTATCATCCATTGCCGCTGTGTGTTACTATGCGATTTCTGTGTCATTTTTAGCATTTGTTTTCGACAGTTTTTCTGTCGACGTGTATTGCGTATATGTTTCATATGTCAGAGTAAGCGTGAAGTGCAAAGACTGCTCAATGAAAACTCTAAATAATCGTGGGTATATTGTCTTTAATATAGTAATGGTATTGAAGAGTGCAAACATAATAGTTATCAAATCATCTTAAATAATCTCTGACACAATATGGTAACGCGATTTAATGCGTAAGACATGAGAACGACAGGGTGACACCCCAAGTACTACCCATATTATAACGGGACGGAATGAGTATAGGGCTGCAAAGGGACATGGCGACATGCTAACCGCCCTTGTTATAGAAGGGTGCAGTGCGTAGGGCTGGGGAAGTACAATGAGACATGCTAATCTACACCACATACGCGAGAGAATGCGCAGAGTTTATAATTGGAGGTCTTTCATGCTTGTGTACCGATATCTTCACGCCACCACAACTACCTTTCTTAACAATTGCATAGAAATAACAACGCATAATTCGTCCGTGACACAATAATGTGTAAGCATTTGTAGTCGTGCCCTAGATATATTCAAGTCTGCCCTATCATAGTCTTATATATTATATCTCTAGTCAATATCTATGGTTGTGCACTGCCACAGACATGGAATAATTATTATTACGCGTAATATCGCCGGTGTATACATCGGCATCGATGTCAAGCATATGGCTGCAGAAACAAAACAGGTCTCAGACATACAACTAACAGGAAACGATGCTAACACCAACCCATGAACACAAACCAAGTGTCACTGCATACGTTACGTTATCGCCATTCAAGCCTGCTACGCAAGCCCTTCAGCTGAGCCGGGTTGAACAATTGTAACAAACAAAGTTCTACGCTGTTACTGGCCGGACATCATTTTCTTCATCATCTCGCACATCTGGTACAAACCTCCGTTGCACTGGTCGAAGTAAGCCAGTTCGGTCTTAAGGCGTGCCACGTAAGCCTCTACCTTAGGGGCCTCGCACGAACCTTTAGTGGTGAAGACACGCGAGTGTTAATATCGCACTGCTGATACACCTATTCGTTTCAACCCCCTGCCTCACACTCGTTGCTCAATCTCACCACCTAGTCATGGGGTTGATAATTTGGTCTTGTATTGATCGACGACGTTATCAACAACATTAACAATCAGTGAAGTCTATACCATTTTATAGCCATTTTATGCGGCTAGTAGACAACCCACTAGCATGACGCGACGAATCAACACGTAATTTTATTAATACGAATTCATTTCCGCGTTAAGGATATTCTCTCTCTCTCTCTCTCTCTCTCTCTCTCTCTCTCTCTCTCTCTCTCTCTCTCTCTCTCTCTCTCCCTCTATATAGTATATAATAATATATATATATATATATATATATGGCGAATATTTCACATGATACGGGCATTATTTGCGACACGTATATGTGTCAGTAACGTGTATAAGTTTTTTTTTCAAATAAAGCGCGGCAAAGGAATCGGCGCATGGCTTTACTCACCTATGTCAAAGCTGACCAAAGAGACGTGCGTAAGTGAAGCCAGTATGTGAAGGTCAGCGATGGTCACGTGATCGCCAGCAGCGTATTTTCGTGCTTGCAGCTCGGAGTTGAGGTATTTCACCTGCTTTCGCAGTGCCTCTGCTGCCTCCTCACTGGGTGGCAGTCTCTTCAACACTTGTGGCATCTGTCAGTGTAAAAATGTGAGAAGTACGCATATGAGAGCAAGAATTCAGACAAGACTTTAGTATAATCTAGAGATGAAGGCATTAGAGATGTAAATTATGAGCTATACGGGAGGAGCTAGGCAGATATGGATTAGGGGGGATAGTTATACCCCGCACAGACTGCAAATTTGATATATTCGCCAGGCGCGCGTCAAATTCTTGCAGTGTGTACACGCTATCCCGCTCTAAATACGCGTTGGCTCGCAGCAATTTGGCCCCGCAAATGGAGGGCCATGCCCGGGATAACTTGGCCCGGGATAAGTTATCCCGCACCAAGCTGTGTCTGTACGCAACAACCCCGGATAACTTAGCCCGGACCAAGCCTGCTTGTGTGTGTCTGTACGCAACACGCGTGACAAAAACCTGGCCCTAAATCGCAATACGCATGCGCATAGCCTTATTTAGGTTACGTAATTGTACAGTTTCTATCTGCGGGGTGACGTAGTGAGCTGAACTGAGAACTGATGACTCATTTGATGTAGGATCAAATTTGCAGTCTGTACGATACGATTTGACGCGCGCTCAACCCGCACCAGTTTAATGTAGGTTCAAATTTTGCAGTCTGTACGGGGTATTATATAAAGAGTTACGACCGACCACGCGAACAACCAAGGAACGGATGGACGAATGGATCAAACGATAGTACTTACCACATAATTGTAAACAGCTTGGTAGAGACCTGTAGCATCCCAGTATAGCATGCGGTTCACTAAAGCTCTTTTCTTCAGATCTACTGAATAAAGTTGATTCTCCTTTCCATACTTCTGTACCAAATACTGCGAGATGGCCCGCCTGTTACCAGATGCAAATATTCAGAAAAAATGATTCGATTATCAAGTGATTGTGTTGTGTCATTTCGCTTCGGGCTGCGTTCTTTGCGTAGCGTTGGATTACGTTGCGTAGCGTTGGGTTACGTTGCGTAGCATTGGGTTACGTTGCGTAGCATTGGGTTACGTTGCGCCGCGTATTGTTGCGTTGCATTACATTGTATTAAATTGTATTGCACTACACTGAATTGAATGTGTAGCCGTATTTTAGCTATTTATTTCTCCATCCTATAGAGACATTAAATCAATAAAATTTATTGTAACGTTAGAACTATTGAAGCAAGGACAAGGACACCGTTTCGCTTACCCTTCCCATAAAATGAAATCACCATCCACCATAGTAGGCACAGTCTTCATTGGGTTAATCTAAACAGAAATATAATCTATAATCGTGAAATATATGAATAACACAGTCATATAACACACATGCACATGAATAGTATTATACAACAACTAACATGCGTTCTACAATCTTTAGCCGCTTATGGCATAGCAAACCCCTATATAAGAAGGATGCAATGGTTGAATGGATTGACATTTTCCCAGCTCAAGAAGGGAGATATCAGGACCACCACGTGCCATGTCGCGGACTGCATCTTTCAGGTTGTTTTCTATACTTCCCGCCACGCCCTCTCTTACTCCAGTCAGACAGTACCTCCCATCTCCCGGCATACCGTTTCTCCCACCTTCCGCCAGACCGTTCCTCCAATCTCCCGCCCGACCGTCTCTCCTACATACACCATACAGTCCCTCCAATATCCTGCCATACGGTCC